TATCAAATTGTTTATTATAAAAAGTAATGGAAAAGTAACGTCTGCCAACCTTGATAACATCGAATTGTAATTGATTGTGTATTGGCTGAAGTATATGGAAAACTTTATACATTCAAATAAATATTTGAGCCGAATGAATATCTTTTCCGGTAGAAGTAAATTCACATCTTCTTTCTCTTTAGGCAGAGACGTTGCGATCTTTACGCCTGCAGCTTCCATCAGAACTTCGGGATATAAGAAATGCAACATATTCCTCCGCACTATATATACTGTATTAAAATTTCTTTGTATTAATATTATTATGTAGATAAGAAATAGAAGTTACTCTACTTTTAATAAAACCATAAACAACTCTTTTAAAACAGTTTGTATGTTACTTTACTCTAAAATGAAGAGTATTAACTCGTTTAAAAAAGATGTCATAATATTATAGTTTAGTATACTGTACTTGTACTTACTTTTACTGTGTATATTTCGAGTGTACAAAAATGTTTACATCGGATTTATAATAATTGGTATATTTCCTAGTACATGACGATATTGCCACAAAATCTCACCCTCTTCAGTAAGAAAATAGTCTCTTAATTTATCTCTTTGAATAATGGCTGCCCGGGTAGGATTATTTGCTCCAAGTCTGCCAGCTCGTTCCATCATGCTATGTTGTGGCACTTGAGCTCTCCACTCTCCATTTTGTAGCTCACCATTTGGCCCATATCCATCAACAAGTCCTGAATTTTGATACATACGCGTGGCAGGTAATGTATTTTTTTCGCTTTCCAGAAGAAAATTGTGCAGACAAATGAGGGCCATAACAATGGACTCGGCAGTTTCTGGTTTACAGCATATAGAATCTTTTAAAACAGCCCATTTTGAAACAAGTATACCGAAAGCGTTCTCAATTACTCTACGAGCTCTAGACAGCCGATAATTAAAAATTCTCTGTGGTATCGTAAGACCAGGTACAGCGTCCAAATATTCATTATTCCTTCCATTATCATCTTGTATATTATCATTTTCTACATTTTCATTATTATTTGCTTCAAACATTGCTCGTACTTGTGCTGCTGGAATTTGTTGCTGACGTCGAAGTCTCTTTGACTTTGCATAGGGCCGCATTAAATAAGTTTTGAGTGGAAAAGCTTCATCGCTAACAAAAGCAAATGGGTAGGGAATATTTGTCCCTAACAATGGCTCTGGATGTGGCAAATCAATTAATCCTTGCTCTAAGCTAGAACCAAAGTCACTGTGCAACCACACTCCACCATCAGATATCGAACCTACATACAAAAGAGAAATTTTAT